CTTAATTGAACCTAGTTAATCAACATTTATGGCAACATAATGGAAATAAAACTCAGTGGGAATTAAGTAGATGGGAGGGCAGATGAGGGGTTGGGTTAACTCACACCTAACTGGTATAAAGCATGTGTTGTAGATGAAGGGCACACTTAGAACTTTGACCAGAAATGTGCAGAACAAACTAACCAAAACATGTGTACCCTTGTAAATTCTGAAATAAAAAGAAAGAAAATGTAATTCATAAAATATATGTCATCGTGTGTTATAAAGATAGAATGGATATGAAAATGCAAAATAAATATTTGCTATTTTATTATTACTTTGGTCATTTTATGTTTTCTTCATAATATAAATAAACTTTGGTCTTTTACCTTCAGATGCTCACATAGTGGAATGGTCTCCCAGGGGAGAGAAATACGTAGTCGTCATACTAAATAAAATAGACATCTATCAGCTTGACACAGCATCCGTCAGTGGCACCATCACAAATGAAAGGAGAATTTCTTCTGTTACATTTCTTTCAGTGAGTATTCAGAAATCAGTGATGGGAGTTTATGGGGATGGTTGAAATTATTGACGACGTTCTAGGGATTATTACTCTTTTTCTCTCTCTTAGGAGTCTGTCCTTGCAGTGGCTGGAGATGAAGAAGTTGTAAGGTTTATTGACTGTAATTCACTTGTGTGCCTCTGTGAATTTAAGGCTCATGAAAACAGGTAGTTTTACCAATCTGTGTGTATCTGTCCTGTCTTACTAAATGTTCTATGTGCAGTGGTGTCATAAATCAGAGTATATGTTTCTGTGAACAACTACAAAAATAAGGAGAAATACTATGTGTATGGTATATAGTATCTGGAGCATAAGAAGATGGTGGAAAATGTTATCCTCCTGGCCTTAATGATGCAAAAGTGGTGAAAGTGTGATCAGGACTAATTATTTGTTCAATATATTTATTTTTTAAATAAGTCCATTAGACTTGAGGCCTGTAGTGAATGAAGCGTTATTTGATCGAATAAAGGACTAAGCAATCTTAAACTTCGTCTGGCCACTCTGGTCCTTTTACTTTATTCTTCTTGCCTACTTTTTCCCCTTTTCCATAGAATTTTTTTCCTGCAGGAGAAATGAAGTGATACTGAATTTTATCTTATACCATTTTGTTACTGCATTTCTAGGGGGTAGACACTGATCTCAGATTAAGTAGTTAAAAGACTTGGCCTAGATCACCCCACTTTTAGGTGATGGAGCTGGGATTTAAGCTCAGGCCTGTCGAACACTTAGGTCTCTGCTTTCTCTGCTTTTATCATCTGCATGTTCTATGTCTCACGTAAGTCTTTGTTCATATTTTCTAAATAATGGTTCAGTTTTATGCCGTCTGTCTTTGTAAATACTCAAGAGTACTGTAGTCAGGATACAGCCTTATCTCTACCCTATATTAGAAGTAAACACATTCTTCAAGGAAGGCCACTTCAAATGTACTGGTAACACTTAGGTTATTGGCCATTTGTCAAGCATCTGTTATAAATTACAACACTAGGTATTTGATGATGAACATAAAAGACAAGAGCTTGTGTCTTGTGGTTCTTATACTGTAGTGAAGCAAGAAAACAGCTTAGAGACAAGTAAGCAAGATGGCAATAGGAAGGCATTATGATTAAAAAGTAATACGGGTTATTGGTTTAGATACGATGATGAAGGAAGAATGAGTGAGAACCTAAGGATAAAAAAAGAGCTAATTCTAAAAAGAGAAAGCCATAGGCTTACTAAGCCCCTGACGGAGAAAAGAGTTTGGTGTATTTTAGGGACAGACAGAAGGCAGATGTGACTAGATGAGAATAAGCAAGGCAGACCACACAGTGGGTGGCCTTGTGAGCGCAGATGAAGAATTTAGATTTCACTCTTGTTTCATTTACTTCTTACGAGTATTTTGGAAAAATTTAAAAGAAGGCAGACCAGGTTAAAGAGCCAACGCTTAACAGACCCACCACGAGCTTCAGCACCTGTCACTTTATGGCCAGTCTTGTTTCATCGACATTGGCAGCTGCTGCCTTTTCCATGTGATTTTAAAGCAGATCCTAGTTTTGTAGGGTTTTAAGCCTAGAAATAACATCTGATTTGCATTTGCTTAAATTCTGAGGGGACAAAAATGGAAGCAGAAAGGCCAATTAATCTACTTCCATGAACCAGAAGAAAAGTGATAGCAGATTGGGCTAGAGATGGTGGCCCTGGAGCTGAGGGAAAGGGTGGGAAAGGTTTCTGTTGTCCTTCCTGAACTTGGAGTTTCGTTAGGTGAAGGGCTGTTTTAGACGTCTTCATTATCCAGTAAGTCAATTTAATCTTGTATTTTGGCTTTAAAAGTGAGTCACTGACTAACCGGAATGTGAAGCATAGCTGTATTCTGTGACACCATTCACAGATCACTTTGGAAATACTTAAAGCCTCAAAAAAGCAAGACTGCCTAGTAGTCTTAGTAGTCCTAGTAGTCTTAACAGTATTGCACTATTTCAAAGAAAAGGCCTTTTAAAGTGTTAATATTTCTACCCTAGGGTAAAAGACATTTTCAGTTTTGAAATTCCAGAGCATCATGTTATTGTTACAGCATCAAGTGATGGTTTCATCAAAATGTGGAAGCTTAAGCAGGATAAG